ATGAAAGAGAGATGAAAATATCCAGTTACCAGGCTGGGCAAAGAAAGACTGATTGATAACTGTTTCTTTCTGAACGCACAAATCAGGTTTCAGGCGCTTGATAATTTTGAACGACCTTTCGACATCCACCTGATGTCCCGTGTCAAGGAAATGACTGGCGCTGGCATTCTTTAAAGCATTTGTTCCCTTTAGACATAAGCTTTCTGGTACATGTTCAGAAAATCGTAGATATGCCCTTCTTCATTCATTCTGTTCTTCCAATGTAACTGCTCCCGCAGATACATGTAAATTTGAATATACGGTTGGAGTTAACATGAGAAGGATATCTATTGATTTTTGATTGCACCAAAGAGCAAGTTGTTCGATAGATGGGAACCAACTTAGCCAGCTGCAGGATAGGCTCCGGCTAGTGATGTACTCAGCCTTCTGTTGGTCATTGCTGCAATGTTTTCACCTTTATATTCAAGCTGAATGTAGATTGGCTTTTTACCCACTGTGATTTGTTTTACATTTGTGACTTCAGATCTTCCATACTTGTTGATGAAGCTTTGAGAGTATCCATTGCTCTTCAACATTTTTTCAATAAACTCAGATTCTTCCTCTAATTTCTCTATAGAGCATATTCTTAACGCTCGCAATATATGCATAGAGTAATAATAAATTGTCATATAATATAATATAATTCATGTTTAAAATGAACTCTGTGCAAGTATGCTAAAATTGTTCTTGTAGATATACTTAGTAATGTCTTTGGTCTGTATGCAGCCTGTATAACAAGAATGCAACGAAGTAAACAAAGGATGGTACCAATTTATTATTCTGCAAAAACTGCAGTTCTTGCTCTGTTCAATTTAGTCAATTAGTTAATTAGTTAACTTCAGTCTGTGTCTTCTACAAGATGCTACACAACACTTCCCACACTGAATTCCTTCTTCATTTATCATACGTTTCCATTCATGTCGGTCATCCATCTCACCATCAGGAACACAGATAGACAAACAGACAGACAGACAGATGGACAGACGGACAGGAAGAATGTTATCAGTAGATCAATACACACACACACACACGACGCGTCATACTCTCTGATGTTCATGTCACCACTCATTAGTTCAATTCTTGTGTTTTAGTGATTCATTTGGCTCTAATCACACAAAACAGACGATTTTTTGAAATCTCATTCGCTCACATTAACACCTCCTTAAGTGATCATTAATTGTGTGTGTGTGTATGTGTATGTGCGTGTTATTCCCTTTACACTCTCATTAGAAATGGAATTAATTCCTTTGATGTGAGATAGATAAAACAAAGCTTATTATGTTTTCTACGGTCGGTGGTTGTTGTGTTGGACCTCCATTCACTGTCGGTTATGTCATGTCTAGCTTATGAGATCGGCATGACATTCTCTCAGATAGGACGAGTGAACTGAAATCGTACGATATTTGAAATTGGAATGTTGAAATTTGGAATTGTGTTCAATGATGAAATAATAATGTGTGAAATACAAATACTACTACAGCCTTGTTGTGTAAGCGCAACGATCATCTACTCAAACAGTCCTTGGATTCTACCAGTGAGAAAATCATAAACTCCTCAGCTATATACTGCAGTTACATCAACCTTGAATGTTTTACATTTTTCAGCGGAGTCAATCACCTTCATTCTATTAGGCAGTGTGTGTGATATCAACTGGTCGGAATGCGCTCATCCTGTATTTTGTCTGTCTGTCTGTCTCATTGACATGAACTCGCATGAGGTACACACACACAGACACACATAAGGAACAGATATCACATGGGGGGTTTCGATTTCTCTTGGCTGCATGTAGATATTTGATAAATGCGATGGCGTTATTCAACAAAATGACAGTCTCTCCCGAGGAATGGTAAAACTGTAAAGTGGTCAATCATTTAACAAAATTCATTGTGAACATTGAATCACAAAACGAGTCTAGTGAATCTGTGTTAATTATTGTAAATTACACACACAAAGACAGACTAGACCGGTTGGAAGAATGATGGAGTATCTGTCGCCTGCACGGGTGTGCGTGATGTTCACTCCAGGATGGTGTTATTTGACTTGCGAGTGAGTGAGTGAGTGAGTGAGTAGCGAGTCAGTCATTCAACATTACTGTTTGAGAAATCAAGTCTGTGAGAATCGAAGAAGACAGTGATGTATATCAGAAGCCAACAGGAAGGAGGATAACACTACAACATATAAATGCAGTGGTAATTCAATCGACTACACGTAATGAGACATATTTCTGCGCTTCATCAATACAACACGCTTTTCATTTTCATCTGTGATATCTTCGTTGACGACGAACCATTACATCGTATATTTCAGATGTGTCCCATATGACGAACACTTTTCACGACAATTACACGCTCACATCACTATAAGAAAGCCAACTGTCAATAGATACGTGTTGTCTATTGACAACGGCGAATCGGTTCAATTCCTCCCTAAATAGTCTGCAGTCAAATCAGTGTAAAAAGCAAGCTGAACAAATAGAGTCGACCAATTCCATTCATGAATCACAGATTCTCCATGAAAATTAATGTGACAGTGTTGTGGCATACGCTAGTGAAGGATAAGGTATTTGTGAAACATCTCATTGGTGTTTGTTTGTTTGTTTGTTACACACAGATATTTCCCCACGTGTCACTTACACAGCATGGAGATGATAGTTGTGTTTTGAGAATGTAATGTGTATTGAAATACACTGAAATCTGGGTGTTCGGTAGTGTCGACCGAGAAGTGATTTGGCAAACGCCTCAACACTGCGAAATATCTCAGGCCTTTATCAATCTCATCCAACGGCGACATGATGATATCAAATGTCAAGTGGTCGACAACGGAATCCTCAGTGATGTCTTTCTACTTACGATTTGAGTTGATTTGAGGATACTGTCCATAGTGAACGATGAGTATCCTGTTTTTCTTTCACTGGGATGTGCAACATACCTTTGAAATCCACGTTGACATAATGAGTCTATTATATATGGACTTCCTGCTCAATTTATGATCATTTATCACACGAACTCGAATATCTGCACGGTATTATCACCAAATATGCAGTTGAGGAAGGTGAATATGTTATGCCCTTCAGCGAAGCTGAAGGAGAGAAGTTCTCTGAGGATACCTACACAACAACAGCGACAACATCAGCAGCCGCAGATTGGTGTCAACCGGAAGAATCTCTAGAAAATGAAAGATAGATTATAATTCTGAATTCAGTGTGAAGACCTGCTTAACTCAGGTGGAACACGCTTCAGTGAGACAGAGCCTCTTACGGGTACAGAGACTCCGTTGTCATGGAGACAGTAACTGTGCATTGTGTGAATATATCGCAGTATTTGAAGTCATATTACGAGAATATATTTCACTGTGAGAATGTCAACAAACATTTTCGTGTCTTCACTATCATCATCAGAGAAGTGAAGAAGTGAAATAATGCGAGATGCAATGAATATTGCCAATACATCTGCAGCAAATGGACGATCAAGGGTAAGTACTGAACCATAAATTTCATCGATGTCAGAATATCTGACATATGCAGACCAACACAGAACATTTTGCATTTTTCCACGCCTTTCATTATACCGAGTTCTTTTCAGAGTGAAACGTCTCAATCGCATCCAACGGCGACATGATGATATCAAATGTCAAGTGGTCGACAACGGAATCCTCAGTGATGTCTTTGAATTGAAGATTTGAGTTGATTTGAGAATACTGTCTATACTCAACGATGTGAATCCTGATTTTCTTCCACTGTGATATGCAGCATACCGTTGAATACGAGAATGCAGCAATAATCCACGTTGACAGAAAGACTCTATAATATTTGGACTTCCTTCTCGATTTATGATGTTTTATCACACGAACTTGAATATCTGCACGGTATTATCACCAAATATGTAGTGGAGGAAGGTGAAGATGTTATGTTCTTCAGCGAAGCTGGAGGAGATAAATTCTGTGAGTATACCGACACAACAACAGCGACAACATCAAGAGGCGCAGATCGGTGTCAACTGGAATAATCTCGAGGAAATGAAAGATAGATTATAATTCTGAATTCAGTGTGAAGACCTGCTTAACTCAGGTAAAACACGCCTCAGTGAGACAGAGCCTCTAACGGGTACAGGGACTCCGTTCTCACATGGCCTAAGGTATATTCAACAAGTTGCACGCTTTCAATAATGGCTCTCGCCAAGCTAACTTCGGCCTGGCATCAAGGACATGATCTCGTGGTCAGTTGACATAACCATGTGGACATTATCCTGAGCATAATAACATCGACCTCAGTAGACTGGACTGTCATTTGTATATTTGTGCAGTTAAGTGAAATTTCATCAGATCAACAAGACGAATTCTGCAGCCACTGTCTAATAATGTTGATTACTGTTGTCATGCGCTCCCTATCATATTTCAGTGCTGATCATTCATTTGGCTCGAATGGATTATTAACAAGGCAATCGGTTAACGAACCAGCAGAGAGCCAATCGCTCGTATATTTGCCCCACGGGGAAATGATGATCTATGGAACCTACACTGAGGAGACCGATAAGGGGTGTTATTCATCGGTCTGCCGACTATAGCCCCGCTGAGAAACGACCAGTTAGATGTCACCTCGAGAATGACGTAAAGGCAACTGTGTGAGGAGAAAAAATGAGGGTTTATGGACAGTCGTGGCGCCAGCTAATAAAGACTACAAAGTACAAAATAAGATGTGAATGTACAGAGGCGAATACCTGTGTTCCATTTAGAGGCTAGAAGTGAAACTGGCAACGTGATACTTGACACCAATTGTACTGAATTGAATTTCTGGTCTGTCTAACTAATACGTGTGTGTGTGTGTGTGTTAGACATAAAATCTAACACTTCTATGGTTGGCCAACATCAAGAAATAATAAAATAATGATGTGTCACAGAGACCACACCTGTGTTGTCACTAAATTTCATAAACCAATAATACATTTTAGCACAGATACGTGTGTAGAGTTCTCCTCCAGTATAAATGCAAGCGAATTATGGCTTGTCACACAATTACCATGCTTCTTTCAATGCCGTCTATTAGAGTCGTCACCACTCTCCTGCTATGCGTATTAGTCATGAAAGGTAAGCCTAAATATATTTTTCTGGTTTTCGTTTTCAAAGTTGACTTGTTGATACTTCGTTCATATCATGGTACTAATAGTGTTAATGATATTGCCTAAAAACAGAAGCTGTAAGAGATTTTCAGTGAAGACATTTAGACACAGGAAATGCGATGGTTCATAGTTAAAGTTACTGAATACAAAGCTGTATAGTACACTGATGGAGTTAAATCCCTTGTAGATTACCGAAGGTTAAGAAGAAAGAAAGAAGATTAAAGGAAGATTCTGCATTCTCATCTAATCCTGAGAAATATTGTAGCTTAGAGTGAAATAAAAATCTTTAAATATTCCCATTTTTAATATTAGAACAAGACGCATATAAACGAACAATATCGCTGTTGTTTTCAATTAGATCTTCAGGCTTTACTCTAATGTACATAGATTTATATATAAAAATTTTTAACCAATGACGGTGATTTTGTGGATCAAATAATAATAATGATATCGTAAATGTTTTGAACGTATTTAATAACGATGATTATAATGATAACAAAATATTGATAATAAGGAGATGGAAAATAAGAAAGGGTGAGAAGGTTTTGAATAGAATTCACCTAGGCCATGGGAGAGACAAAGGTAGAACAAACTTCTTTTGTTGTATGCAAAGAAATTGGGATTGTTCTCTCGAATTAATTCCCATAGCTTCGGCTATGTGTAAAAGACGGATTCGAATTCCGTTCGAAAGGCTCGATTGAATGCGATAGATAACTTTGAAGGCACTATTTTAGTCCACTTGGTGAACGCTATCAATCAAATGAGCCAAATTAGAACTTCTTATAGATTTTATTTGACCTTTTCCGAACCAGGAAGGAAGATGCTCATTAATGCGTTTGTTAAGCTGTCTAGTTGTTCGCCCTATATAGCTCTCTCCACAGGAGCAACTAAATTTATAGATACACATAGAAGTGGCACAGCTAGGTAGGTTGTCTTTCACTTGAGCAATCATAATTGGTCGGCTGGAAAATGACAAACAAAGGGTGGTGGCAGTATAAGTCCGTTTTATTCCTCTCGATAATCTCAGATGTAAGACTTCGCTAACCACGTCCCCATTAAATTGCAGTTTCATGAACAGTTGTTTCTTTTCAACTGTTGTCATATCCTCATGTGTCTCCTTACAAATCTACTAGGATAACCCATTTGGACCAGCGTATTTTAGATGTATCCCAACTCATTTTCTAGGGAGTCATCTGTACAGATCCGTCTTGCTCTATTCGTGAGGCATCTGACCAAATTGACTTTGTATCGGATTGGTACAAAACTGAGGAAATGTGTATATTGTCCAACAGATGTAGGTTTTCTATGGACATCTCTCTTGAGTGAACCATCCTCTCTTCTGCTCAATTGGACATTAAAGAAATGTAGTCTACCATCATGTTCTTCTCCCACCCTTTCTTATTTTCCATCTCCTTCGTATTTTTATGTTATTTATTTAAAGTCTGATTATCTGTCCACTTCACCTACCTTTAGTATTACGTAACTTTTAAGATTTAACCTAATTTATTTATTGAATTATGTACATATACACATTCATATTACTACCTTCGTTATTCTTATCGCCACCTGCATAAACCTCATTATCAATACTTTGTTATCATTATGATCATCGTTATTAACTACGTTCAAAACATTTACCATATTATTATTATTATTATAAAGGTTTTTGTATTTCCCAATGAATGAAAAACAAAACGATATTGTTTTTACTGACGTTTCGCTATTAAATGCTAATAGCTTTATCAAAGTATTATTAAACCGGAATTTACAAAATCTCAGCATATATATAGCAAAGAGTTAAGAGTTGAGAAAATAGACTTAGGTCAAGTTAAAGGGACATATTGAAAGTCAAAATAACAATGAAGATAACTAAACCAAATAACAAAGTTAATAGTATGTCTGTTAGGATATCAAAATGATATCAAAATAAAGTTTACTAACTTGATCATCGTTCGTCTGTCTGGGGGCATTTTTCGTTGTCAAGTCGGTCAATTGGTAAAGATAACAAAACCAAGTGTAGATTGTTGGATTTGATAAGTGTATAAGATTATAAAAGCAGCGTGTGTTTACATAATGAAAGTGCTTATCACATTCGTGTTGATTTTATCACTTGATGGGGGAGGGAATTGTTGTAACCAGGTCAGATTCTGTTTTAGTCCATCATTCCTATTCAGCTCAGGCAATTTTGATTCCACTTGATATGAAGTGCTTCTCATATCAGACGTTCTTTGTGATTTCTGAAGTTTTTTCTGGATTATTTCAATATTGTCACAATCGATTTTGTGGCCTGGTTCTGTAGCGTGTAGACCTATGGCTGGTGATATTTCAAGTTTTTCTAGTTGAACCGGATTTCTCGGTGGTCGAACAGATGCTCTACGGTGTTCATTTCTTCTGATTACCTTGATTTCTCTCTGGAGAGGTTTGTCCGATGTATATCGCATCACATTCCAAGTATTTTATTTTATAGACACAATTAGATAGAAAATCTTCAGGGATTTGGTCTTTTATATAGACAAGGTTGCTTTGAAGTGTGTCTGATGTTCTGAAGAAAACTCTAATGTCGATTTGATTGAGTACTCTTCTGATATCGTCTGACGTCTCTGCTCTATATGGAATGACGACTGTTGATGTTCATGTTTTCGGAATGCGTTTTCGGCCATACTTAATTATTATATTATTTGATCCACAAAATCACCGTCATTGGTTAAAAATTTTTTATATATAAATCTATGTACATTAGAGTAAAGCCTGAAGAAGATCTAATTGAAAACAACAGCGATATTGTTCGCTTATATGTCTTGTTGAAATAAAAGAAGAAAGATTAGGTTTTCCGCAGAATACGGTATCATTTTATTCCACACGATGTCACCAGTTGCATACTGCTTAAAATTACAGTGGACATCGACGAATCTAAATGATAGGAGGGAAAATGTTACAATTTGTGGAATACTATATATATATATATATATATATATATATATATATATACCATGGTATATACCTGAAGTTATCATCTATTTATGTTCATTGTGAAGTAAGAAGGGGAAATTCAGCCGGAACCCTGATGATCACAATGCATTACATTCATAGGATTTAGGTCAGCTCACTGGGCTTAAATCAACATTATAAATGACAATGAAATGTGAAAAACAATAAATACCATTCATATTCAAGTGTTGGTTTGTAGGGATTTGATTGGTTACAGGATTTTCATCATGAGCTGACATTAGTTAGAGAACCATTGGAAAACCTACAGGGAGTACTGAACAGCTGTTTCGTCAGCCTAGTTCGGGACTCTTCATCAGTACGCACCCACCACAGGGGTTCGAACCCACGACATTCTGGTTACATGGCGAGTTAGCTCGTAGACCATTGAAGCCACTGGGACCCGACCCAATGGCCAGCCAGCCCATGAATTCTAACTTCTGCCAATTCACGACATCCAGTTGAAAGTTATAACACACACAGGAAAGAACAGAATCTCGACCAAGTAACACTCAAAAAATCAGTATTAACAAAAACTGAGAATTCAACGTCAATATTGGCGTAAAATTTAAGCGGTTTTTTTTTCACACACTGTGGTGCTTGGCGCACTTCAAATGGTCATCATCAGTGTATTTAGTTGCGCAGTTCATTTCCAACGATATATTATATATTTTTTTCTTTTTCTATCCAACAGGTGGATTGGCTGCTAAGAATGCAGCTTGTGCAGATAGCAAATGTGAGTTCAGAGCCTCTGATGATAACTATTTGTATCGTCTTCGTCAGTGAACAGATCTTATTACAACAGTTGATCATGTGATGAGATCTGATTCATTTCTAATAATAATAATAATAATTTGCTTTATTCCAAAACAGTACTTGTGATACAGAATGGAATTCTCAGCATTTCACTACTACAGTATTGCATCCAGTTAGTACATTATCAATAAATAGAATTCTACATAGATTAAGGAAATCCACAGTTCATTATTACAACACATTGGCATGTTGGTAGGAAAGGTAAAGCTGAACAGTGTTTGAAGGTGTTAGAAAAGTAGGAGCTGTCATATTTACTGGCGTAAGCGAGAGAAAGAAACAAAGCAGCACATAACAGAAAAAAGGAGAGAGGGAGAAAAGGAAAAGAAAGAAAGAAAATGTTGTACCTATAAATGATATGAGTTGGAAAGACGAGATCCAGTTGTTCTACTGACTATTTAATAAGTTATAGGTGTCACGCCTAATGCTTTCTTTATCACACAGAACACGAGCTAAGTAGGGTATGGTTGAGTTTTTGTACTTGCTGGTGCGAGCATATAGTTTTCTATATAGGCTTCTGGTTTTACCTGATGAGATGCAAGGGGAGAGTTGTGAGTGAAGAGGGTGGTATGAGTTAGACAAAATGGATTTGGCCCATTTTTCACGTGAGTCCATGTGCCTGTCAACCAGAATATTAACAAGCTGGTTAAGTGGCACGTTGCTTACCCTGCTGACAACCTTTAACATCCTGCGTAATATGTTATAGTCTTTCTTCAGTAGCCCGGGAAAAACTAAGGGGGAACAATAGAGAATAATAGGCAGAATGCGAGAATTAACGAATTGTAGGAGTAAGGGTTGGGTTATACCAGAATGTTTTAACTTCTTGATGTAGAAAGAAAGACGGAATATTTTCTTAGAAATTGCTAAGATATGAGACGACCAGGAGAGATCAGCAGATAGAATGACGCCTAGGTATTTAATTTCCGATTTGGTTTCTATTTCAGTGCCGTCTATGTTGCATACCTCGTGAGAGCCAACCAGTTTGTTTAGGTCGGATTTATGCCTAAAGGTGAAATTGACTGTTTGGCATTTGGAGGGGTTTAGGGTAAGACCATTTTCCTTGGACCACTGGCTGATTTCTGACAGAAAGCCATTAAGTTTAGAGCAGTCGCTTTGACATTTGACAGGCAAAGATACTGTCAGGTCGTCAGCATATTTGACAAAATTAATGTCATTTGAAGATGGTAAGTCATGTAGAAAGAAAGAAAAGAGAAGTGGGGAGAGTACAGCACCTTGGGGGACTCCGGCTTCAGTGAGTACAGCAGAGGATGATTTACCTTTGTATACGGTGTACTGCTTTCTGTTAGAGAAGTAGGAATGCAGCCAGTTAGTGACCCAGGACTCAGTTTTTGTCAAAGAGAGCTTATTTAGCAGGAGACATCTAGGTACAGAGTCGAAAGCAGAAGTGAAGTCGAGAAACATGCAGCGGACGTATTTGGAACCTTTATCTAGTGATGAGACGATGCTGTTGTGTAAGACAGCTGCAGCGTCTAAAGTCCTCCTACCCTGTCTATAGGCAAATTGTTTGGGGTCTTCGAAGTTTTTAAGGGAGGGTTCAAGTTTAAGAAGTATTAGTTTTTCCATAAGCCTTAGAAATGGGGAAGTGATGGCAATGGGTCTGAACTTTATGTTCTTGCCGTTTCCAGGTTTAGGGACAGGGACAATTTTAATGTCTTTCCATGCATGAGGTACGATATTTTTGGAGAAAGAAGCATTTAGAATGTTGGTTAGTGGAGAACACAACGCATCTGCACCCGTCTGTCTGTTTATAAATAATAGAAATGTACCATTTGAATACAGTACATTTACAGATAACACAGTCTGAGAACAGAGCTCACTCACACTAACTGAATTCATTCCTACGCAGGTTCCAACTTTCATTCCTACATTCTTGAAACATTAAGGAACATTTCAACTCATCTGCCATGATTTGCCTTCTCCACGTTTTCAGATAAAGAAACTCTCAAAAAAAATATTGATTATTTCAATGAGATTCTTAGCTTTTATGAAGGTAATTCGTTTATTATGCCTCATTTCTCTTTTTATGATTCTCATGTTGAAATGTTTCAAATGATCTGAAATCTTCTATTTTCACTGGCTCTGCCTAATGCAGCAAGTTCTCCCAATGAAGAGAGAGTATGATTCACTATGTGAAATCACTACTCATACGAATAGGCAGACATGTTTAGAAATTCTGTTCCTTCGTTGTTTGTTTCAATCCACACATTCCAAGTGGATCACACACACACACTTCATGCCTCTGAAGCCTCAGTGGCGACGGTGTGCTGCTTTTATGCGGTTAGCATCCTGTTGTTTCCTCCCTTCTGTTATTGTTATAATCTGGTAAGCTATGTATGCTTCCTTTTCGCATGTGCCTGCCTTCTTTATGGATGACCAGCCTCCAACAAATTAAATAGCCATCTCATAGATCTACCTGTGAACCCCACTCCGCCCTAAAAACGAGATTCACAATATCATAACGCGACAAATTCTGTTTCTATAAAACACAAAATAATCGAGCAAAGAATATCCTTCTTTCGATAAATTCCTCTTCCAGGCTCTACAATTATATATCTGCATGTTTATATACACAGAATATTTTAAATTAGTAGTTAATAACAATATTAGCTTTTTTTTAAATAATATCGATTTGTAAAGTATGATCAATGCTATTGCAGTTCATTAAAGATGCTTAAATTATAATAATAATAATAATAAAGATATAACAGCAAATAGAATATCAACTAAAATTAGGTAAATTTCCCAAAAATTCTGGATTATTCAAACCTGGATGGCCAAGGTAATGATAACGATTGAACTAACTTCTTTTGGGTGCATAAATTAGGTTTGTTAATATGGATCCCAACAGTCAGCCTCAGCAATATTTAGAAGTCGAACTCTTAAAGCGAAATTGAGATTCATAGGTATGCGGTAAATGACCCCGAAAGTATGATTAACGTCAATCTTATGTTCTGTCTCCACAAGATGCACCAGAATAGCGCTGCGAATAGATTTTGTTTGACCTTTGCTTAACTGCTGACTCTTTGTTACGTTTACTTTTTTTTTTTCCACAAACTGATAAGACGGAAATGCCTATTTTACACCAAATGAAACTGTACATTCATGCGCCCAAGGAAATGCTCAAAATCTCATTAATATATATATATATGTTTCCTTTGTCCACAGAATTCACTAGAAGATATACAGAAAAAGTGAACAATATAGACAAAATGCTGAAGACATTACAAGGTTAGATGAATCTCACTCTTAATATATGTGTAAAACTTGGGCACTGTGGTAGTAAGTAATTCCATATTAGTTTGTTTATTAGGTATATCACACAGTGAGTGAAACAGTGTTATTATTTACTGGATGACACAGTTTCGAACAAAATTTATTGTTCATAATCATATCAATTGTGATCACACGACTTTGACACTTGAGTTTGATAGCTTTCTTTGTCTTCTCCAATTTGTCGTAGGGGGAGTAGAATTTTCCAGATATCGGGGACAGGTGATGAATCATTCCTATTACATGTATTTGCAGTTGATTCGATAAAAAATGCTTCTGTTATCAATCTCTCCCTATACCCTGTGACATTAGATTTTAAAACTGTCGTCTTATCCCATCCTATTGTATGGTTGTGTGTGACTGCATGTAGTGCTATAGCTGAACTATTCTCTAGATTTCTTATTTTATTCGGGTCAACCAATCTAGATTTTGCTAAGTTTTTATGTTCAGCTAGTCTGACTGCCCCTGTTCTACTAGTTTGACCTATGTATTTGACCTGTCAATCATTGCAGACAGTGTATTAGATAAACTAAATTGTTTTGTTTCAAAAGTTCCACAGGATCCTTTAACTGACAAAGCTTGTTTCTAATTGAGTTTGTGGGTTTGAATGCCAGCCACTTTTATTCCTGCCTGCCTTGTTAAGAATTCTGCGTAAGGCTTCCGAGGTTCCTTCGTTGTATGGAATTACTACTGATGATTCAGATTCTTTATTGTTGGTGTTGTCATTATCCTGCGTATGTTTGAGATGCGTGTCGTCATTAATAATAATAGTGACAATAATAATGACAATAGTAACATTAATGTTATTATCCTTATTATTATTATCACTATCAGTATTATTATTTATATTATTTTTACATTTCCTTACATATTTGCTGACTAATTTATCCGGGTAATTATTAAGTTTCAAAACTTCTCTTATATGCCTCAATTCCTGTCTTAGATTTTCCTTGGTACTACTTAATTTTTGTCCTTTGTTTGAGTTTGTGCGTTTCCACACACTAAAACAGATATCTAGACTTCCGATCATTCCATCCTATGTCAGTAAAATTAGGATTGGTGAAATGCTTAAATGACAGAGCACAAAAATTAAGTAGTACCAAAGAAAATCTAAAACAGGAACTGATACACATAAAAGAAGCCTTGAAACTTAATAATTACCCGGATAAATTAGTCAGGAAATATGTAAGGAAATGTAAAAATAAAATAAATAATGATAGTAGCGATAGTGATAATAAAAATAATAATGATAATGATAATAGTGATAATAATAATATTAATGACGACACCAACAATAAAGAATCTGAATCATCAGTAGTAATTCCATACAACGAAGGAACCTCGGAAGCCTTACGCAGAATTCTTAACAAGGCAGGCAGGAATAAAAGTGGCTGGCATTCAAACCCACAAACTCAATTAGAAACAAGCTTTGTCAGTTAAAGGATCCTGTGGAACTTTTGAAACAAAACAATTTAGTTTATCTAATACACTGTCTGCAATGATTGACAGGTCAAATACATAGGTCAAACTAGTAGAACAGGGGCAGTCAGACTAGCTGAACATAAAAACTTAGCAAAATCTAGATTGGTTGACCCGAATAAAATAAGAAATCTAGAGAATAGTTCAGCTATAGCACTACATGCAGTCACACACAACCATACAATAGGATGGGATAAGACGACAGTTTTAAAATCTAATGTCACAGGGTATAGGGAGAGATTGATAACAGAAGCATTTTTTATCGAATCAACTGCAAATACATGTAATAGGAATGATTCATCACCTGTCCCCGATATCTGGAAAATTCTACTCCCCCTACGACAAATTGGAGAAGACAAAGAAAGCTATCAAACTCAAGTGTCAAAGTCGTGTGATCACAATTGATATGATTATGAACAATAAATTTTGTTCGAAACTGTGTCATCCAGTAAATAATAACACTGTTTCACTCACTGTGTGATATACCTAATAAACAAACTAATATGGAATCTCACTCTTCTTCTCTGAATCACTGAAAGTTCAGTCTATCCCGAATGCCTTTACCGTCTGTCAGCAGACCGAAAGTTGTATCAGTCTATATTCCAATTTACTCACTGATGAACAGAATTCAATGATACATACGACTTAATATCTGATATGCCATTATTCATGAAATCCTGCTGGTATCGATCGCCTGTCGCCATAGAAACTTCATCAATATAGAAAAATGAGCAAACTTCATATGTGCATTGCATTTTTTCTTATTCATAAAGATAATCTTGATTTCTACATCTATGGAGGATGTCAACTAAACGTAAACACATCGCGGCCTATACCAAATCCAACTGACAGAATCTTCCCACACACAACTGCATTAGGTTTTCCACCTGATTGGCATTATGAAGTCAAAGAAGGTGACATTCCCTCACAGCTAGTCTACCACCTCCATCAAAACACCCTTTTCTATATCGCCCACTTATAATACAATGATGTATTGCAATATATATCAAACATCATCTGTTTTTTTCAACTGAGCAACGATGAGATTTTCATTTGAGAACTATCGAGAGGTGAAAAGTACCTCCCATGTTTTGGTCTGTTATTACGCAGCTGAAGGCTTTGTGAATTCTAGAAGGGGCTGCTTCGATTAATATATATATTCGGGCTTAGAACTGAACAGTTCATCACATTTAGCACTCCATTAGTAATCGTGAAGCCTGACACATGTTAACCACTCTATGATATTGTGTGTGAGTTATGCTCAGTTTGTATGACTATTTTCCCTCTAATCTAGATGATATGAAAGAGAAATCGCCGAATCAAGCTGAAAAGATAGACGCATGTATGTGAATTATTCTACATATGCTTGACTGACTATTTGACCTTCTAGATGTTCAATGCCAGAGTCGTAGATATGAAGACTACTATCGACCAGATGCCTACCTGGGTTTGTGAATTTTGTTCTCTGTGAACTCCTCACTTTATTACAACTTATCTTGGGATGAATGACTGCGCAAGTCAATCTCATCACTCCATTGAATTGTGCGTCGGTGGCACAGTGGTCAGGACTCTCGCCGACCATGCACCTTGGCTCGGGGTTCGATCCCCCGCCGACTCACACCTGATATCTATGGGCTACCAATATCCAGGCTGAAAATGCCATTATTACTATTATTGTTCCCTGGGTTCCTAGTGGAACATAGGGCTTCAACTGCACGCCTCCACTTGCTTCTGTCTTCTGCTGTACTTTTCACTTGCATCCATGTTAATCCATACTGTTTCAGTTCCTCTTCACATGATCTCCTCCATGTCAGCCACCATTGGACGTCCCACTCGCCACTTCCCTTTCGGCTTCCACTCGAGCAATGGCCTGACGCGCGATGTCACCCAATGGCCTCCTCAGCGAGTGTCCAATCCATCTCCACTTTCTCCTGCATATTTGTTGGGCGATTGGTTCTTGTTTTGTTTGTTCCCATAGTTTCTTGTTGGTGATTCTTTCCAGCCATCTGATCTTCAGTATAGAGCCAGCGAAGACAGTTGTTGATAAAGGTGTGCAACCGGCTGTTGGAAATGTTCTTTGTGACCCGCCAAGTTTCTGATCCATCCGTATAGAAGAACTGACTGACTTGACGTTCGTATTGAAAATCCGAATTTTGTTGTTGATGCAGGCTGAGTGACGAAGATTTCCAGATTGGTTTCAGGTTGATGAATGTGTTTCTCGCCTTCCCGATTCTCGATTTGACATCCTCGTCCGTTCCTCCTGTAGTTGAGACAATGCTCCCTAGGTAAGTGAAAGAAGTAACCTCTTTCAAATCCCTCCCGTTGATGGTGATTGGCACTGGATGTTGCTGCTGCTGTTGTTGGTTGGTTATTTTCATGACCTCCGTCTTGTCTATGTTCACCTGGAGTCCTGTCTTCACTACCTGCTTCTTCGACCAGTTTGTCGGTTTTTGCTTGTAAGTCTTCGATTTTGTGTGACATCAAACATAAATCATCCACGCGCGAAATCCAGGTCTTCTAGGTTCTTCACGTCGGTCCAGGATATTCCTATCTTCTCGTTTCCCACTGTCTGACGCATAATCCAGTCCACCACAATTAGGAATATCGTTGGTGATAATAAGCACCCTTGTCTGACTCCTGTGTTTACTCCAAACGCTTCGCTGAGTTTTCCGTTGTGGATCACTTGACATGTGCCGTTGTCGTATAGCTGTTGAATAAGGTTGATGAATATTTGGGGTACGCCGTAGTACTCGAGTAGTTTCCAAATTACTTCGCGGTCAACGCTGTCGAAGGCCTTCTCAAAGTCTATAAATGCCATACTTGTACTGAAAATACGATGTGGCATCAAGCTGTAATCAAACATAAAAAATAAAAAAATTTACAGACACACTTACTGACAAAGACCATTAAAAGTATAACAAAGTATATTTTATCGTTTGTCACAAATTTGATCACCAGATAACATCTCAGTTACAGAAGCACTGGGAAACCAGCCAGGGAGTACTGGACAGGTGTGTTCGTACCAGATTGTGACTGTGGTCATGATGCGACGTCACTTAGGGAATCATGGTTTGTGACACAGAATGAAGTGCAGCCAACAGAACTTGTTCAGACTGTTTCCTCAGCTAGGTTATTCAATAATTATTCTCTTACATGTGTTTGAACAGTGTCAATATGTCAGTTGAGAGTGCGTGGAATAAGGACAGAAACAAAAAGAAAAATGGTTTGATCACTTTGTATGTTTGCCAGTCATTATGTGTTGGTTGATGCTCAAATTGAATATTACTGAATTTTTTTAAAATTCACTTTACAGTTGTTTTATGATATTTTTCACACTCACATTTCAGCCATCAAAGCTGAGATGCTGGCAGTGAAAGACGTCTTTGGTGAGAATTCATTGTGATGTTTTATTTTTAATAATAATAATAGTAGTATTTAAGTTCAGAGCTAGTTCAGACTGTTTCGTTAGAAAGCTGACAAACTCTCATCTGGTAACTGTGCACTCAATCACAGTCTTGCTATATGAGACACTTCCCAGTTATCAGTTGAATCAGGTAGAAAAGATGATAGACATATGAAGACAGTCATTTAGTATACATTGGGGAGACTGTTGGAGGAATGAAAGGCAGAATAGCATCGGAGAACACTCATTCAACCCCTGAAATACCTGGTATTACTGGAATATTCAAGTATTGGTTTTGTAGAGATTTTTGTTTGATTGCATGGAGGATTTCATCATGAGCTGACATTGGTTAGAGAACCATTGGAAAACCTACAGGGATTACTGGACAACTGTTTCGTCAGCCTAGTTTGGGACTCTTCATCAGCACGCACCCACCCACCGGGGTTCGAACCCACGACCTTCTGGTTACAAGGCTAGCGAGCTCGTAGACCATTAAGCCACTGGGACCCACCCGATCTAATGGCCAGTCCATGAATTCTAACTTCTGCCAATTCACACACGACATAGCGCGACCATTTCGCAATGTCTAACTGATGTCAGCTCATGATGAAATCCTCCATTACTGGAATAGTCTGCAACATCTTCTGTCGAAGATTTCCGAACTGTGAAATCAGACTGCAATATTGAAATCATTTTTTTGGTAAACAAATTGCCTCAAATTGCAAATAACTTCTTGTAACTCATGAATGCTTCACAAAGTGGGATCCAAATCGTCCACTTCAAAATGACGGATTGTGTCAGAATATGACATCGATCCAACAGCCTCCTACCAAATAATGCAGTCATTCCGAATGTGACAAACATTCAACCTAAGGTAAACGAATGCAAGTTTCATATCCCGTACAAATTAGAAAATCAAGACGTCTGCACATCGTTGTCACGTTTACGATACCCATTCACTTGACAATGGACAATCACCTCAAACGATAGCAACATCAATCGATTTATAAAAGTGAGCTGAAATTGTGACGACGCCTGTTCAGTGCAACTCTGCTGAAGCTATTAGAACTGAATGCTGGAAAGTCAGTCAAAATCAGCATCACTTTGATTCTCACACATCGCATATAACACTATTGGATCAATGCTATAACATATATTCAGAATGCTTTCTGAATGGCAATCACAAATAAAGTCATTATTGACTGAGTTATGCGGCAGAAAATAGTGACGTACACCGTTTTTTTTTGGATATGATCGACCGGAAATATGCTAGATTGCCTTGTTAATTTTCACTCTCATATCTGTTCACATTCGTCTACTTGTTGTTCGTAGACAAATTCATCCCCGAATTCGATAAGGACCTGCTTCACTACAGAAAATTTTATGAAGAATATGCAGGTAATCGTTGCATTTTCTTTATCTTTAATGTGAATTTTCAGTATAAATGTCACTGTCAAATTAGCATTTGTAAATTAACGACTTCTCAGCAAGCATCATTAATTCATACGGTCAAAGCGAGTATGATCCTGGTTGCGGACGGATTCAGGTTGTTGGTGGCACTCATTTGGTTGACATGCAACAGTCTCATGAAAACTTCAGAAATCAGTGAGACATCACTCTTGTCTTTATACACTATTCAATCGCTAGTAGGAAATTCGACAGGTGAATTCACTAAAAATCTGATGAAAATAATATCAAGGAGATCTCTCATACTCCCCCACTGGTTGTGCGTACCAGTTGACGCGGCTAATTAGGCTGTGCTACAGTCGATTAACAATAGAAATTCACAGTGGATATAACATGCATTCACATAACATGCAATTACAAGTAATAAATAATCTGAGTGGTGTGTGTGTGTATGTGTGTACCATTGGTGCAGCACTCACCCACTACTGTGAAATTGTGAAGACGTTCGTATTGTACATGAAGTCGTGAGAAACAGCCAATCGGAAGACTGTGTTTGTTTGTTTACATATCCATAGTAACGTACACGAAAACATATATAAATAAGCGTTGATTTCCTTAATAAATGATCCATTGCCTGACTCTTGCCTTCTGTCGTTACAATTGGTGTCGCTGCCTACCGACAAATGGAAAGCCTATGCCCTGCAGTTTTTGATGAAGACATATGGATCTTCGGGCAGGACTTTGAGGCTTCTTCGCAGTTGAGTGGCGTCCAAGATCTGTCAGCGATGAGGCTGCTACTTGGGACGCTGCAGGGAGGTCGGGAGAAAGCAGCATATGAAAGTGTAAGCCGAAATACCTACGAATGTGCGGCAGGGTCAGGCAAACAGTTTCCAAAGTGGGAAGGACCATACACAGTCACAAAAAGACGGGGTCAAGTATATACCATCAGAAGAGGTGACAAACAAAAACGAGTTAACGCCAGTCAGATCCAACGATGGGTGCATTGGGACAAGCCGGACTGTAACAATCATCAACGAGAGGATGCATCACCCAGAAGGTCGGAACGCCTACGCGCGAAGCTAATTGACGGGGGGACGAGTGTGGTGAGAGCTGTCTACTAGCCAAATTGGTAGACAGTAATTTACGTCAATATTTACGTTCCCAAGATTTGTCGTGAGAAACAACCAATCGGAAGACTGTGTTTGTTTGTTTGTTTACATATCCATAGTAATGTACATGAAAACAAATATAAATATGCGTTGATTTCCTTAATATATGATCTGTTGCCTGACTCTTGCCTTCTGTCGTTACAGTATCATTGCGTTGCATGAAGCACTATTCTATACTCAATCGCTTTGTCTCCACATTTCAAAAATTTTAGACAACGTGAAGAGTAAGTTGAATTCCACTGGAGAAATTCCAGTGTGTGTGTGTGTGTACATTAACGCGTGCAGATTCAAATCCGCTGAACATTCAATAATAATTTGTTTTCTTTCTCTCTTTCTATCAAATCTTCACAGAAAATCGAAATGGTCCTGGATATGACGGATGTAACGCCTATAGACTTTCTGGAGACATCCCCGGTATCTCCATTTATCAACATTTATTCATATTTCATGTTGCATTGCATTGCATTCATGCAAAGTTTGTATTTCCCGAAGTTTTTCATGTTGAGCAAGGCAATCATGATTGAGAAATATATATGCATGGAGGCTTTCATCATGAGCTGACATCAGTTAGAGAACCACTGTAAAACCTGGGAGTACTGCACAGCTAGCTGTTTCGTCCTAGTTTGGGACTCTTCATCAGTACACGCCCACCAGGATTCGAACCCAGGACCTTCTGGTTACAAGGCGAGCTCGTAGACCATTGAGCCACTGGGGCCCGATCCAGTGGTCCTTGAATCCCGGTGGGCGCGTACTGATGAAGAGTCCCAAACTAGGACGAAACAGCTGTCCAGTACTCCCAGGTTTTCCAGTGGTTCTCTAACTGATGTCAGCTCATGATGAAATCCTCCATGCAATTAAACAAAATTCCTACCAAACCAATACTTGAAAATATATATGCGTCAGTCCTAGTTAACAGAGCATACGTCCCTATGCCTTTTATTAATTGAATCACTGGACATATTCCCAATACTGTCACTTTGTTTCATTCACAGTTTATGTGTCAGTCTACATATTTTTATAGCTGTAGATTGGCATGCGAATGGAAGTCATTTTTATAAAAAAAGAAAAATTTGGCCGCATTTTCTACCAGTTAAGCAGAGCAGAATGGTGAAGTGTGCTAAAATGTCGGAGGTGTAAAACATCGAGGAGTTCTGTCGTTTTGCAAACATCAGATCTCTGTAGCTTACCAACCAGAGATACCTGGATAGGGGAGGAAGTCTGATGAAGTTTGAGAGATGCCTACAGGAGATAATTATTCACCAATAGATACTTGACTGATGGATTAAACTCTATGTAATCAAGCCTTAGGGGGGAAACGCTGTAGAAGCTCACCTTGACTGAGCGATAAACGGCAGAACTAAGCTTCTATCAGTGAGTGAAACTCGACTTGGACTGGTGAACATAAAAATCTGCTTATTTTAGTTCTCATTATCAGGCTGTTACAATAATCACGGAGCAATCTCATCAACATTTCATTTTCGCCTGTTTTCAAATCAACGTTTATGCCTTTCAGATACTACAAGTTTGAAACTAATAATACCTCAGAAGTATGCTGCAGCGTCAACTCTTCAGATAAAGTCAGGTAGGCCGCCGATTCATTCTGGAAGTTATATTACTTTATGGCAATTCAGAAACAATGTGTTCTCCAACCTGTTTGCTTGGAAACCTTGCTTCCATTTAGATTGTAGAATACGAATGAATGCCTGTTGCACTCACAACACTCATTACAATGATAAAAGCCTGTTCAACGAATAATCTTGACATTGCTTGTTAGTGGGTGAAAAGACACTGCAGATATTTGAGATTGAGATACCATATTACTGCCCTTTAACATGGTATAGTGTCATTTGCGGGTGGGGGGGGGGGGAACACACAGGATAAATAGTTTAATGTCCCACACGTGGGTAAAATTTTCACTTCAGCTTGTCTCTCACTTTCAATTACAGAGCTTAAATCCATGTATGAAAAAATCGCCTCCGGATTAAAGGTGAGAAAAAATAAAGTTAACAATGGAAATGCTTGATTAGAATTAATCGACTATTCATTGTTTATGCTCATTTTACAGAGAACAAAGCCTCTCTCATTCATCTTAATGCATGCAAACAAGCGTATCATCTATCCATCTATTTCTGTGATGAATTCCAGAAGATCAATAATCCTGAACCTGAGAATTATAATAATTCCTTTCAACATGCTTAGAATGATGAAATTCGGGAGAAGTGATTGATATATAAGTGTGGATCGCGGGAATGTCTCTAGCAAATGACAGGTCGGTCGGTCGGTCGGTTTTCGACATAGAACTTTGCACATATGTGCAGCAGTTCAAGTCGCCACACTCCATGTAGCACACAAAGCAAGAGAAGAAATGCTTAATATATATTCAGTAAACAGAGGTGTGAGACAAAGGAATAGTGATAACGGAGAACAAAACAGCTTAATTGGAATTCATAAGTCCCAAGGAGTGGATGCATCTGCGCCACTGAGAACGATTTTGAGCCATGTCACCAATTGTTTCCAACCATTGGTTTTTACCCTCCCGAGGACCCCAACCAGGAAGTCTACATCTTCCCACGTGGCTTAGACTAACTGTTGTGGATTTCATTGACTGGTGCCATGTTTTGGTTTGACCGCCGCTAGCTCTTTTCCAGCCTGGCCCTATATCAGCTAACATTGCCCGTCGAGGAAGGCGATGACTAGGTATACGTAACACATGTCCTAACCATCTCAGTCGATGTAACTTCACAGTCTCGTCGACTGATTTCCCCGCCTTACCTAGCACTCGACGCCTAACCTCAATATTGCTCACCTTATTATACCACTTCACGCGGGAGACAGAACGCAGACACCTATGATCGAACACAGCTAACCTTTTCATGTCTTCCACTCTCAATGGCCATGTCTCACAGCCATAAAGGAGGACGGAGTGGACTGCTGCGCTGAGCAGTACACACGCCCTTTGGTCAATAGTCGGATATCACGTAGCAAATGACAGCAACAGTGTATTCACTACAAGCAAGTTTGAATCCCTATATTGCCAAAAGTGTAACAACTTTCACAACGAGGCCACGATGAGAGTGTTGAACGTTCTTCTCTCAAGTGTAAAATAAAGTTTCATAGGACATTTTTTTTTGAAGGTGTATAAATTACGTGTGACCTCGCTACAACTCTCCATTACATTCACAAGCATAATTATCAATTAAAAAACCATTTCCCTTTTGCACATCACTCTCTAATTCTTTCCATTTCCCTTGAAAGGTTGAATATGAAAAGTGCTAAAGGATGCGGTACAGATGTCGTCGATGAATGGAACATCATTCAGTGTGATTTCACAGTATAATAACAATATTATCATATACAATTTCTGATAAAAAATTTCCATTTCTTCAAATTACACAATATTGCTTAAATACATATTTTGATTCGCTTATAATTTGTTCTCAATGGAGTGATTCCAACGACAATTAAATAAAAAATGTGTTTTCAAACTCAAATTACATTTAATAGTGATGTGAGACATGGAATCATGTACACACTAGAGAAAACAATCGCATGAAGTACGGTATTACCACAACAAGCATCTACACTCGTAAAACAACAGCTGAAAGTAAAGTGACACGGCTGACTGATACCAGTCTGCGCGAAGACAACATACACATTTGAGGCGAATCGGCAGAAGAAGAAATGTCGATCATGGAATTCGTTCCATGAAAATGTATCAAATGATGTAAGGTGTAGGTAGTCTAGAAGGGGATGACTAGTTGTAGGGCAGAAGTAGAGATGATGTTAAACTTTTGGAATGACTATTCAGTATAAACCCGACCGATAGCTGGATTCAGGAGAAACAAGTCATGCATTGATCAGATCGCCACATTACGGATCATCATTGAACAAAGTTTGCAATGGCAGTCACCTCTCTATCTCAACTTCATCGACTTTGAAAAGGCCTTCGACAGCGTCGATCGAGAGGTGATTTGGAAACTACTTCGCTACTACGGGGTGCCACCGACAATTATACATCTCATCCAATAGCTGTACGACAATGCTGCATGCCAAGTAATCCACAACGGGAAACTTACGGAACCCTTCGAAGTGAGGACAGGAATAAGACAAGCTGGATGCCTACTATCGCCAATGATTTTCCTGATTGCAGTAGACTGGATAATGCGACAAACAGAGGGCCGGGCAATGAGGAAACAGGCATAAAATGGACTCACACAAAAAACTTGGAGGATCTGGACTTCGCCGATGATATATGTCTGATTTCCCACAAGCTGGAAGATATGCACGTGAACAGCAACAAGTTAGCAGAAGAAGCATCAAAGATAGGCCTTCAGGTGAACATAGAGAATACATAGGTGATGAAGATTCCTGGACAACACCAACAACAGCAACAACAACAACAGACAACGATCAGCATAAATGGGAGGAACCTGAAAGAAACAACCTCTTTTACCTACCTTGGAAGCATCGTCTCAACTACAGGTGGAACTGACGAGGATATCAAAGCAAGACAAGCTTTCACTACTCTCAAGTCTGTGTGGAGGTCAACAGCACTCAGCGTCAAAAATAAGATCCAGATTTTCAACTCCAGTGTGAAGTCAGTGCTACTATATGGATCAGAGACTTGGTGCGTCATAAAGAGCATCTCCAACAAACTACAGACCTTCATTAACAGTTGTCTTCGCTCAATACTTCGCTCAAGATCAGATGGCCAGAAAAGATCAGCAACAGAGATCTCTGGCAATGAGCGAACCAACCAGGAACCGATTGTGAAACAAATAGGCAGGAAGAAATGGAGATGGATTGGCCATACTCTGAGGAAGCAAACCATCAAGTGACATCACTAGACAAGCCCATGAGTGGAACCCGAAAGGGAAGCGGCGAGTTGGTCGTCAGCGCAAGGGTGACTTGGAGGAGGTTATGTGAAGAGGAGATGAAAAAGTGTGGGCAGACTTGGAGCCAGGTGAAGACTCTAGCAGAGAACCGAACGCAATGGAGACGCACGGCTGAAGTCCTATGTTCCTCTAGGAATTAAAGGAAACAATGATAATAATAATTCAGTATAAGTGTATGAAATGGAGAAAACTGGTGGTAGGACGGTAGAGTGGAGTGTCTCGATGAAATCTGTATGGCAGTGGAATGTTATCAACAAACAAACAGTGATCGAGTGATAATAAAACAAGGGTAATGTTAATAAAAAAATTGAACTCAGGCAATGAAGTGTAGCAGAATTATGGTCATAACCTCACTCTGGCCACGGTAGGACCAGCTACGTGTGTAGTGATTTTGAATGAAGAGGTCTGGTTTTAGATTCCGAATAGCCAATGATCCGGCTATGTATATACGCCATATTCGAGTCGATTCTGTGCAATACTGAGGAACTCTGTGTGGCACTGGGAAGAATTCATGATGTGTTGCTCGATGGTTCAGAGATGACAAAGTATTCGAGGATGGGTTCACTGGCATTCTTCTAATAGATATGCACTGATGAGGTCAAAAGCGACATATGATGCTTAACGCCTGACTGCATTAACTGTCTGCTGGGGAGAAATGTCTTCCTGATACCTATACAATGGCAGTTTCTAGGAATTGCTGCTTTTATATCATATTTAAATTCTGGGGTCATGAAGACAGTTTTCATAGGAACAGTTGAAATCCTCCGGGAGAATTTCAATTTTACAGTAGCATGTCATGAAGTGATTTTTGTTCATTCTCTGTCGTAGCATTCCGGATCACAGGGAGAAAGATATGGCAGTAAATCAACTGTCCAATCCAAGTTCGTCTGTGGTATACTGATCTTTCGATGAAGTTTTCTTGTCTTCTAGTGAGTGGTACATTTAGGAATGGAAACGTTATATTCGATTCACGTTCTAGGGTCAGTGTCATTGCAGGGTGTGCCGCATTGAAAGTTTCGGATAGATAATCTAGATGCAAAGTTCCGTCGCGAATCATAAACTATCAAATACCTACCTTCCTGTCGAATAAACAGGAGTGATGCTTTTTATTGACTCACAATGAAGCCGTTAACCAGAATTGCATCGATAGGAGACCCTGTTGCCACATCCTCTCTCTCTAGTTCATTGAATTCGAATTGGATTATTAAATTTACACCTGAGAAGCATTTTCCTCAGGTGGTTGTTGGGAAGAGGAACTTCCTGGTAGTTGTTTTCGATGTAGTCACAGATAAAGCATATTGTCTCAGTTAGAGAGATGCTTGTGAGCGGAGACGTGACATCTAGAGAAAGCAGTTGTCTTTCGAAAACACTGATATCAAATCAAATGTATCGATAGGGCTATGCCTTGTCACATGTCTCGTTGCCGACCCAAGTATATCTGATGATGGCTTCGCGATCTAATGATATGGTGAGCTGACCGTGTTTACAATAGGCCGTAGTGGAACATGCACCGCATGGCTTTATTTGTTGATAAACCTCCGACGATATGACTGAATATCCTTTTGTTTTCTTCAGTAATGTTGTAAGGTTTGTGTTCCTTCTGGTGTATTTCTGGGTGGGTGATTTGAAGAAATATTCAAAAAATCTGCTGTAAATGTTCACTATAATAAGACATAAGAGCTAAAGATGCTGTATTTCGCAGTCGAAAACGTAGGAATCAGTGAAAAGTGAGTGCCTAAGGGTTGGAAAAGACTGATATGAGCAGGAGCAAAGTGTGGTTTTGTCTGCCATAGTTGAAAAGTAGTCATTGGAAGATACAAGTGACTGATTATGCTTTGACTCCATGGCAACAGTCGAAATGTACAACCAGAACTGACGAAGGACAGTAACAGTTGTGAAATTTCGAACAGTTCGCTTGCTGAAATTTCTCTCGAGAGAGTGAGGGAATAAATAAGGCCTTTTGATTGACACTCGGTTGTTTGGTAATGAAATCACTCCCATCCTCAGGAGCTGTTTAAGTCAGCAGCACTGTAACATGAGGTCCTTAGTAGTGACAACTTACCAAATGAGTTATTACATTCAGCCTGCAATGACGTCATACAATCTCCAATATCAGCCTCGGTGTTTCAACACCATTTTCGGTCGCTCATCGTCAGTTACATTCTGCTGAACTGCAGCCTTCTTCACTGTCATAGTCATCCACAACAACAGCACCTAATCAGCGTAAGGGGTGGGGTCATCGATGATATCATCATTTTCCTTTATTTCTTTGAAATGTGACCTTTCGTCAACAGATTGTTGATTGCTGGGTTCTGACTCAACAAATTGATGGCAGCGATAAACAAGCCTTGCTTCAAAATGTTGAAATTCCTGCAGTGATTGAGTTATGAAATCGGAAGTCTAATAGATGAATAGGTTTCTGAAATGCACGTGAACATGAAGTGTGTTTACTGTCGTTACACTGTCACAAAACACAGGTACTAGTGACAGAGTCTGCAGCCGGGTTTCTGAAAAAATGAAAGTTGAATAATTCGGAGGATATTTATTTCTGGGGATTGGTCGAATGTCACCTTCCAAAAGTACAAGCTGCTTGAGGCTGTCAATGGATTTTGCACATTACCACAGCTCAATGGCTAGCTGAAATATTGGATCCAGTTAGAAGTCAATTATGAGAGTACTCAATTGATGATACACTTCCACACTTTGAGGAGGAGGATGCAGATTTTGACGTCTCAGACAAGGTAATGTTCTCATTACATGTGATTTCATTGTTCACTAATGTTCGTCTCATAGAGATTATCCTACATTTTTGCAGTTATATTGAGCAAACAATTTAGACATAAGTTGATATATAAGCTACTTCAAGGAACTCTTACTGAGATACAAGTCGAACTCGCAATTTACTTTCATCAATGGGAAAAAACAAAACAAGAACCAATCGCCCAACAAATATGCAGGAGAAAGTGGAGATGGGTTGGACACTCGCTGAGGAGACCACTGGGTGACATCGCGCGTCAGGCCCTCGAGTGGGACCCGAAAAGGAAGTGGCGGGTGGGACGTCCAAGGGTGACATGGAGGAGATCGTGCGAAGAGGAATTGAAACAGTATGGATTATGATGGACGCAGGTGAAAAGTACAGTAGAAGACAGAAGCAAGTGAAGACGTGTAGTTGAAGCCCTATGTTCCACTAGGAACCCAAGGGAACAATAACAATAATAATAATATATAAGCTACTTCAAGGAACTCTTACTTAGATACAAGTCGAACTCACAGTTTACTTTCATCAATGAGATTAGTAGAAAAAATGAAGGGTGTGACAAAGACTATTAGAGAATACTTGAACGATGTGTGTGTGTGTCAATCCACTTACTCCAACGTTGATTTTAAGAGCATCTATCAAATTCATGCCAACTTGCCTCGTTTCCCTTGTCCCGAATTCTGAGGACAGAAGACCTCCTGGTCATCTATCAACTGAAACCAGATCTTTGTGTAGCGAAGAAGTTTATACATTCCATATTTCTACATGAGT